ATAACTTGGAAAAGTCCTCTTTGCGTCATCGATTGTGTAAAGATGATCGTCCTTTCATGGTCTTATAGACAGACAAAGTAATGTAATTGCAGGTGTTAGATATTGTTAAAAGCAAGCGATCAACACTCTACCTCGTTTTGCTATTGCTGTTGAAGCACCAATCATTATGGAATGTGGTGATGGAAGGATTTCCTTCTGCAGGAAAGCTTAAAAGCTAAAATCTGCAGATACACGAGTAGTGATCGCCTTGCACAGACGGCTGCGGTGGTTCATAGTCCTTCAAATCATCAGTCCTCGCGACAGATTGGTTTTCCCACACAGAGAACTTTTCTCATCTCAAAATGGGTTTGGGGGCTATTGAATACTTATTTTAAAATATCTTTCGGCTATCGGACTATCTCTTCAATAAATTCTTCTTTACCAATGTTATGAGGATGAGAGCTCCTAGTAATGTATCCTCGTTTTCTTGTGCTGTGTTCGCCTGAGAGGGCCTGGAAAAGAACTGAAGTGTTCGACATGCTGCAGACATTTTCCGTTTCTACTGTCAAGTTGCAAGTCCACCAAGACCACCATACGTATAGCACTGCTTGTAATTTCATGCATTCACCTTTCCTAACAGTTTGTTATTCGAAGCGGTAAACTTGTTTGTCCCTCCGTCCCCTATTCTCCATATACTCACTTATAGGCATTCATTCATTAACCATCCCATCCGTTTAGGATCTCCAGGGTATACTTACACAACATCGCATCTTTCATTTACTCTAAATCTCGTTTAGAGATCACTTATGCCCCTCTAGAGATCCATCTTCAACCGAACAGGTTTAGCATAATTATCAGTGAATATGCAAAATAATATTACATGGAAAGGTAGGTATGCTACATTTTAGTTGCATTTATTTACTGTTAGTGGCAAATTTTGTGTTAATGTTAGATGGCCCCACCCACATCCTGGATAGTGGAGTAGGATGCCTCCAGTCTTAAGATGAATTTGACTTGGACACTAAACAACTCAATCAACAAACAGTGGAGGTCTGATCTCAGCTCGGATGCACTCTACTGAAATGTGTTTCGGTTCTGAGTTTGACTCTCCCTAAAGGATTTATTCACTCCGGCAGGAGTCTGTTCAGCAGTCTCGGTTTCACCAATCGCTCTAGCTGCTGGTGCGCAAATTCGAGAACGCATCCACTCGCTTCCTTTTCATCTCCTCTTGATCTCCATCCCAAACGAATTATAGCAACACACGAACAAGAACACAAGAACATTGACAGTTTCGTCAGCTTAGGAGGGGACGTCTCGATTCAGTGGTATTGACCAGTCTCCACAATCTTGGGAGTGACGGTCTTATGCATCAAACAATAGAGCATCATTTGAGAAAAGCAGCATTTACGAAGCTTTGTTCTGAATGCTAGCTCATGCTGTTGGTCATCGTGGCCGTAAGACATGGTCAACCAAACGAAGTGGTGCAGTCCCGTTGCCCAAAACATGAAACTAATATGCCTACCTATGGGCAAATTCGATCGCAAAACAGAAGTGGCTCTGATTCGGTTGCTCCTACCTTACTTTTCCACGAAGAGTTCAAGGCGCTTTCAACTTGCGCCCCTCCAGACCAGCATGGTGCGTTAAACGATGAAAGCACGCCATCAATTAATAGACATGTATTCAAACCCAATAAAGCACATTCATCAGCTCACAAAAGCAAAGCGTGAAATAGTCCAACTTGGACAAAATTTGCAAGTGGTGGGCCAAATATGAGAGGCTGAGGTGGCAATTTATTGACAAAGTGGTCGCTCCGGTATGTTAAGGGGAGACCTCACTGCCAACATCAGACGATCATCCATAATTGCTGCAAGGATTGCGAAAGCACTTAGTTTCCCCGAAAACCCATTCTCCCATTCATTACTCAAATATGAGACCATGGAGAAAAAAGTCGACTTCAAATGGCCTTAGCAGGTAAGCAAATTTGCCACAGGAGTAGTTGGTGTGTTGACTCAGTGATGAGTGTTCGGTAATGAAGAAAAATGCTCTTTGATATATTCTATCCATTGGAGCGTACTCGCCGTCGTATCAAAATTGATGCCCAAATTTGTTTAGACCTATTTTTTCATTTTTTTTCATTTGTCATTTGCATCAAGCAAAATGTCTCCTTGTCTTGGGACCTACGTGTGAGTAAAGCAAAGAAGGTAATTTACAAGCTGGAGAGAGGCAAGAGAAATTGTAAGAATGCATTTGAAGAACATGATTTTAATCTCGATATCGCCAGTTGGATCAACTTTGATCACGGACCTCACCTAATCATTCGACAGACCGAAAAGGCAGCACCTCTAATAAAGTTAAACATCCCTAGAACGCCTATTATCATGGCACGTGCAACAATAAAAAGGCAGAATTTACGTCTCTTACAGCTCGAACATTTGGCCCAACACTTGCGAATTGTGCACAAAGCGGACTGTTACTCTTTTCTTCTGTGTGCCTAGGTGTGTG